CCTCTACTGATTGATGTACTCATTGCAGTCAATCTTGTTGGGCATTTCGGAAATGGCAACTTCAAACCGGGTCTGTACTTCATTCAATGCTAAAGTATCCTCTTGAGAAGAAACGAACGTAACGGCGAGTCCCTTGGTACCAAATCGACCAGCTCGACCAACTCGGTGGAGATAAGAGTCTGAATTCTCAGGCATGTCATAGTTAATGACAATATTTACTCGCTCGATGTCAATACCTCTTCCAAACAAATCAGTGGAGACTAAAATTCGATTTTCAAACTTTTTAAACTTATCGTATCGTTCAATTCTCTCCTGTTGGTCAAGGCCACCATGGATAGCAATGGAAGGGAAGTTGCATTCGGTCAGCAATTTATCCAAGGTGATCGCCCTTGTGACAGATTTTACAAAAATGATCACTTGATTAAATTCTAAGGCGTCCAAAATTTCAATTAGCTTTCTCGTCTTGTCCTTTTCTTGTAACTTCACATAGTGTTGTAGCAATCCGTGCAGCTTCAATTTGGCTTCATCATCAATAAAAATCTCCACCGGGTTTTGTAAAAATTTTTTGCACACATCTCTCATTTCTTTTGCCATGGTGGCTGAGAAAAACATGACCTGTTTCTTTAAAGGAGTGGAAATAAAAATCTTCTGCACGTCACTTCTCATGTCCAACTTTTCCAGACACTTATCACATTCATCCAAAACAAAGTGTTGGATTTTGTCTGTTAAGAGATATTTTTCTCTTATGAGGGCCAGGATACGTCCTGGGGTTCCTATAATAATATGGGGGATGCTCTCCTCCTTAAACATTTTTATGTGCTTGCTCATTGAGATTCCTCCATAGACCACTTCACATCGGACCCCTTTTAGGTACTTACTAAATCGATCGAATTCGTTTTTGATTTGGTAGGCTAACTCTCGTGTGTGTGCCAGTCCGAGGCACCTGACGAATTTATTCTTCGACGCGTCATTGCCATTGGTTAGGTCTCCTTCTACGTTGTTGTTGCTCGTGTTGTTATTCATTTCTTTCTCTTCCTTTATGTCCTTTCCTTCGTTCGTCTCCAGCTGCTGCAGGATGGACAGCACAAACACGGCCGTTTTACCCATTCCACTCTTTGCCTGACAGAGAATGTCCGTGCCTGTGGGGGGGAGAAGCAATGTGGGGGCGGAGAAATATGTGAGGGAGGAGAAATATGTGGTGGAGTGCTTAGGTGATAATGCTAAGGTGATATCTGCTTAGGTAATAATGCTTATACGATATTTGCTTATGCGTAACTGCACCGTGGGCTAGGGGCCGAGTCCCTCCTCGCCGCTCAGAATTACCCGTGATTGCCGCGGGGATGGTCTCCTGCTGCACCTCCGAGGGGTGCTCGAAGCCGCTCTCGCTTATGGCTCTAAGCAACTCGGGCTTCAAAAAAAAATCCTTGAACCCTCCCGTGTGCACCGTGGCATAGCTGCCTCGCATGGCCCCATTCTCATTCACCCCCTTGTTGTTGTTATTTAAAAGACTGTTGTCCAAATTGCCCTTCACATCCTTGGCATCTAATATGTTCTCGTCGTCTTCGTAGTCAACAAGTTCATCCTGCACGCTGTGGTCCATGGTGGCCATCGTAATATTTTTGTCAGTGTAGTTGCTGAGCTGGAACTTCCCGGGGGCAACTGACCGTATGTAGAGGACGTCACAACGGGCGGGTGTGCGAATGCGCTGGGGATAAGGACTTCCGCAAGGAGAAGCAGGAGTTGAAAAAAAGGGGGTAGCAAAAAAATGAGGGACTTCTGAGGCGGGGGAAAAAATCCGTATGGCGAATGGCACTTTACCAACTCGCTCACGCGAATATGCCGTTAAAGGAGCTGCTTTTCCTCACAATCTGCAAAAAACGGATGACACGTGCCCCTCTATATGTAACATGTAAATACGAATTAAACGTTTTTTTTTTCTTTTTTTTTTTTTTCTCCTTCTGTTTTGTAGCTTTCCAAAAGGGCTGTTTGGTTTAATCACTGATTCATTTTCTTCGTGACTGGCTGGGATTGGTATTATATATATCTCCTACTGGCCTCGTAAATAGCTTAAACATACTTTTTGTTCAGGGGTTAACTTAGCAAATTGTTTGCTTGCTTTTGTTCCTTTAGTTCCTTTTGCTCCTTTTGTTTTGTACATTTCGTTTTTAATTTGGTAATTTGGGTTTCGCTTCCTTGGTTTACGATTTTTTTTTTTTTTCCCGTTTGACTATTCTCGCCTGTACGGTCGTTTTGTTCACTCAGCCGTTCGTGTTTTTTTTTTTTTTTGTTTCTTTTATTGCCTTTTTATTCCCCGCTTAAGCTTTTCCCCCCTTCTGCAAGTGTTGGTTAACTCTGGTTATGTTGGCCATTTCGCACTTTTTACATTTTATTGTTCTTTTTTTTTTTCTCTCTCCGGAGGTGAAAAAAAGGGCTTACTGTTCTCCGCCTCGGGAAAGTATGCATTCACCACGGGGGGATAAGGGAAAAAAATGCATAGTATACTTATATATATGCATATCAACATAATATGTACGTATAGTTTTACCTATGGGGGCGTATGTCGCTAGCCGCCCCTGCGCAGGGACATTCAACCGTATGCACGTATGCCAGCAGGCGCATACGGAGGCTTGGAGATGTATGCTTCATGTGCCAGCGCAGGGGAAAAAAAAGCGCGGGCAACATTTTAAGAAAAAAAACCCCAAATTGGTCCCAAATTGGCCCCAAATTGCCCAAAGTTGCAACCCCGCCATGCCCATTTTTCCGACCCCTCGTTGGGAATAATTATTTACGTGCACGTGTGTATGACCTTCCCTACGTGGCTACTCGCGCAAGGCTGTTGGGTGCAAGGATGAACAGTGCACAGCTGTGTATGGCAATCTATCATACCTTCCCACTTGTGCAATCGAATGAGGTAAGAATAAACCATCCATATCGGGGAAACGTATGATCGATGCGAGATCCACCTGTTGTGGCCATTACCACTTCTCGTGAGTCATCATCACGTTCGAAGGGGCGGGGAGGAGGGGACTCTTATTTGTAACTACTCTGGGCTAGTAACATCGAGTGAGATAGCTCCATGTAACTTACCACAAGGAACTCCTTACCGCAGTTTTCTACAGAATGGTGAATAAATCCCCGATCATTGAGAATGGATTTTTTTATTTTTTTTTTTTTTCCACAAAAGTGTAACCATCTGGATCTCAAATGGAGGAAAAAACAACGGGGTGTTTGCCCCTTTGGACAAATGCGTCCATGAATAGCTTTTATCAGCGAACCTGCTGATGTAAATGCGGATCGGAGGGGGCCACCGATCGGGTGTGAAGTCCCATAGGCGGAGAATATTCTCCTACATAGGCTTAAAACCCATTCGGTGTGTCGCCATCTTTATGCAAACACGCTTGTGGTGTAGGACATTACATATGTTAGCAACTCATGTCTGGGAAATGTTGACTCGGGGGAGATCACGACGCAAGGATATGATAACGTGAAAAAGAATTCCCCCATTCGCAACAATTTTTTTTGCCTTCCCCGGGTTGGCCCCCCCTGGAGTGAACGAAGAAGACGTTCTTGTGGTAAAATTCCACCACAACCCACACATCAACATCGCGAAAGGTTATATGAAATGATGTTTGACCAAAAATGTCAGCACTGTCTGCTGTTACGGAAACGGGAAAGGGGAAGATTTCTTCGCCTCGGTGAGATGCTATATATATATCAAAATGTTGTCTCTTCTAATTTTACCTCACCCCTTTTGCGTACCCGCATACTTACGGAATGGGCACATAGAGTTTTGAGACGGCACTGGGTTAATTGGTGATATATATATTGCCCCCCCGGGAGCAGCAGCAGGGAAAGGCGCAAATGGGGCGGTCCCTAAAAAGCATACGCGGCATGTTAAACCCCGCCGTAAGACAACCCGACCGAACTTCACTTCAACCAGGGGGTAGGAAAATCATCAGATGGGGGGATTATGAATGCACAATAAGAAAAAGGCCTACTTGTATGTACAGTGCCGGCCAGTTAGCAAAGTATGCGTAAAAAAAAAAAAAAAAAAAAGGAAAAATTTCATTTACATCCCCCCTGCAATTGGACCCCTCTTTCTAACCCACTTGATTATTATTATTATTACTATTATTATTATATTATATTTTTTCTTCTGTGTATACGGTTTATCAATTTCTCTGGTTTACTTGAAGTAGTCCATCAAAAGGGTTATCTCTCTTATTTCTTGTTTGATAAAATTTTTGCAGGCGTGAAACAGAAGTTTATACAGAGTGCTGCCATTTCCACAAATTGGCATATCTTCTCGGCATTGGAACAGGTATGCGGTTCATACGCATATGGTATAATCTCATATGAAGGTGATAAGTACGCATTATTGGATTTTTTTTTTTTTTTTTTTATTTCCTTCTCTTTTTCTATTTGGGCTTTCCCCGAGATTCACAGCTCGCAAAACGGCCTTAAGGTTGAGGAGGAAAAAATAGCACCAACGTTTCCGTCCCTAAGTCGGTTTTATCTCTTTCGTTCCGTTCCCCTGACCTTTTCTTTTGTCTTTGTTCGATCGTTCATTTGCTGCCACCTTCTTTACAATCCTCGCAACTTCATCTCATCAGAAGTGAGAATTCGACGTGTTCACCGATTGGACTGATTTGTTGACAAGCCATCAAAAAAAAAAAAAAAAAAAAATTAACATATCTATTTTTGCCTTCTTTTATTTGCCTCTTTATTTGCCTTCTTAATTTGCTTGTTTCGTTTCTTTGTTTTTTTTATTTTTTTTCTTTACTCCTTCTCCCTCCATCGTATGATCTGATTCATCATTATTTTTTTTTTTTTATTTTCCAAAAAAGGGAATAAAAACAAGTTCGAACAGGATTGCTCATCGGAAGAGGAAAAAAAAAAAAAGAAAAAAAGAACGCGAATAGAAAAATAGCCAACTTAGTGGGAAAAAAAAGTATCACAAAAATTGGAAAAGGCAAAAATTACGAAGAGAGAGGAAGCACAGCTGGGGAAAAGCGCTCCACTGTCCCAGCGTCTGTATGTCTGCCATCGCGCTGCCGTGTTACCGCGATACTGCATGTTTGCGCAATTGCGAATTGGTATCACGTCGCGATATTTTCCCTCCCCCCCCCTCCCTTTTTACAGAGACGAGATAGTCGCGCAGATTATCCATCCTTTGACCAGACCCATCTCCACTCGCCCAGATTATATCGATAGCACCACTACTCACCATGGTCGAAGTGAAGCTGCCCGAATTTGTCGTTGATGAAAACCACCCCATCGGGTACATCATCAGCGGCATACAAACTTTCGTCCATGACAGTGTTAGGTTAATAAGGAAGTGTACGAAGCCGAACAAGAAGGAGTATACTAACATCGTGTATGCCTGCTCCTTTGGCTTTCTCATCATGGGATTCATTGGGTACACCATCAAGCTTGTCTTCATTCCGATAAATAACATTTTCGTCGGTTCATACTGACGGAGTTGTTGCTTCATGATCTGCTGATCTGCTGAGCGGCCACTCGGGAGAACGCTGGATGGGGCGACAGGACTGGCGAACGCCGTAGACCCATTTTTTCCACTTTGCACAGTGGCGGATAAGTCCCCTTTTTGTATGTGGCCCATGGGGGAAGGAAGAACCAGTTCCGTTGCCGAGCGGATGGAGAAATTAGAGGCACAGTTAGGAACACAGAGGAGCATTTGAGTAGCACATGAGAAGCCTCTGTGAGGAGCCAGACGCGCGACTTCATCGGGCGGACTGGAGGGATGTGATGATGCATGTGATGTTAGGGAAGTGTATTTTTTTTTCCTTTTTTTTTGCCCTTTTTTTTGCCCTTTTCCTTTGCCCTTTTCTTTTGCCCTTTTCTTTTGCCCTTTTCTTTTGCCCTTTTTTTAAGTTTCCCCTCAAAAATAATTAAATGTATTTTTGTTGCAAGCCGTCCCCGTGAATGTCGCGGCGGTTACTCTATATCCCGGCTGCCATTGGGGGGAGTGACCGCCGCAATAGGGAGGAGAGCCCCTGCCTTGAACAGCAGCATGTGTGAAGAAGCACCTGTGTTATGCGTAGACCAGCCGTATATTGCCCCTTTTTTTTTCTTCACCAATTGAAAGAGTTAACATAAAAGGAAATAAAAAAAAGTGTAGCACGCGGAGAGGCTGCGCACCGTCCTTGTGCACCCTGCCTCTGTTGTGTTCCGTACAACAGAGTTTCTGCTTCGACCGTTATTGCCACAGTTGATTTGGGCTTAAATTGGAAATCTGTTCATAGCATTTTCCCCCCCATCAATGTTTTGTTAAGAAAATGGTACGATATGCCAGTGAAAAAGAGTTGGGGTGACATCCACTTGGCTCCTCCCCCGGGGTGACCTCCACTCCGGATTGAAGAAACCAACGGTTGTGTCACTCGAGAGAATAACTGCTAGTAGGTGGACGTCCTCTCAATTCGCCACGCTGACTATTCGCAAAAGGTACATAAGTAATGATAAAGTGAAGGGGCCTCCAAACAGTTGGCACTCCGCGTGGATACCACGGCCATATATATCTTTGGGGTGCGCGAAAATTGGGTTTTTCCCCCATTTTCCCCAGTGGGTCATTTTTTTTAAACAAATGCGTACCTTAAATAATATGCCTATTTATCTGTACGTACAATGCACGACCAGGTGCGGATATCTATGAACCTTTTTTTTTATCTGCGCACAGTTAGAAGCCCTCAATTATTATGGCCAACCAGAAAGGGAAGGCAATTTTACTCCCATCCCAGGAAAGTGAGAGAGGGGAAAGTGGTTTTTTTTTTTTTTTCCCTTTTTTTTCTCATCCCATTTAGCGTATGCACAGTCAAGTTTGAGGTGGGCGCACCCCGTTGAGAGTTAGTCCTCTTTTAAAACGCGTTGGCGAATCAGTAGCCCCCGTTTCTCTTCTCCACCTCCATGGGCATTTTAATCACCCAAAGTTGCTGCGCTCCCCAATAGGCAAAACGTTACGAGATGAGGGTAACTGATACTATCCTTATATGAAGAAAAAAATAAAATAAAATGAAAATAAACAAAATGAAATGAAATAATTAAGCAAGTTGACTTTCTTTTTTTTCTTTTCTTTTCTTTTTCCACAATTTGGAATTATTGAAGAAATTAAAAAAAAAAACAAAAAGCGAAGAATAATTTTCTCCCATTTCTTAACCCCCCATTATTTTTTGTTTCAATAAAAGATGTCGCGAAGGACGAAAAAGGTAAGAAAGGAGAAAAAGCATGATACAAAGAAAAAGGGGGAAATCAAATTAGAAGTATTCCTATTTCTTCGCATTATGTGGTCGGCAAGTGGGAAGAAGAGGGACCAGTGAGCGCTTCTCAAATGGTTTTTGTAGAGAGGAGAAGCCCATCATGTAGCATTCTATTATGTGTAGTGGAGCAGGGCGAACTCCATTGTGATGACCACTACGTTATGTTGTTAAGGGGCGTATTGTTGATGGGCAAGCGGCGGGGGGAGGAAACATCTCCTCTACGATTCTTCACTCTTTGCTGCGACTTTACGCACGTGTCTGAGAAGGAACAAGTGCGGATACTCTCACCTATTTCAGTGTGTCCGTTCACTTGCATTGGAGCAATCGTCACCCCGCTGAAGGCACCAATCGTATGTTCTCACCCTTCAGTGGTTATTCTCCACTTGTTTCCCTCCATTTAGGTGGGCTTAACCGGAAAGTACGGAACCAGGTATGGATCTTCCCTCCGTAAGCAAATCAAGAAGATCGAACTTATGCAGCATGCCAAATATATGTGCAGCTTCTGTGGAAAGGTAAGTACATTGGAGTCTCATGGAGGTGTTCAGGCGTGGCGTCTGAAGTAGAAGGAGGATAAGAGAAGAAGGCGGAGGATGGAGAGTTCTCCCTCCTCCTCCTGCTGGGGTGTACCCTGTGCCGTTTCTAAATGAGACACTAATCCATCACTGATCTTTCCATCCATTTTCAGACGGCAACCAAAAGAACCTGTGTAGGAATATGGCAGTGCAAGAAATGCAAAAGAAAGGTCTGCGGGGGAGCCTGGAGTTTAACCACCCCCGCAGCGGTCGCAGCCAAGTCGACCATCATTAGGCTGAGAAAGCAAAAGGAGGAGGCGCAGAAGTCGTAGGGCGTAGAAGTCATAAGGCGTAGAAGTCATAAGGCGCAGAAGTCGCAGGGCGAAGAAGTCGCAGGGCGCAGAAGTCGTAAGGCGGTTCCATTTGCGCATGCAATGACGAAGTTGAATCGGGGGGAAGTGCATCATTCCACCGCACAACAGATTAGTGCTCCTTTTCCCATACACCGTGGCGCACCCCTCACCCAACTTTTTAAAACACACGTGCAATGTTTAATTCGATCGGGTCATTTTTCACCTGCATGATGTATTTTTTTTTTTTTTTTTTTTAATCACTTTTGTGTACAAAATACAAGCCATTTAAGTAAAAAAAGAAAAAAAAAAGAACCTTTTAAAACGCCAATGTTGAATTTACCATTTTGAGTGATAAAAAAAAAAATGTTAAGGTCAAAATGAAGAAAAAAAAATTTGTTAACGTCAGGTGGTGTAAAGGGGAAGAAGCGGGAGAGGTTTGGCTTCGTTGGAAGTGCATAAAAAAGGTGGGGGTGGGAAGTGTTCGCTTTGGTGAGAATAGCAAAAGGGTTGTTCTTCCCCACGAGCAGCGATCCAAGTCTTCCTTTTTTTTTCCCTCTCCGCGTACCCAGGGCCCTTCTTACAGCAGTACTGCAGCAGTATCACAGCAGGAGTATCCTCTTCACGTCATCACGAGATTTCCATCGGTTGCGAAGGTCCTGCAGAAGAGGAGGAGGGGGCAAAATGGGCAGTGAGAAGACGGGGGGGTGGGAAGGAGTCAAACTGGTAGTAAGAGCGACACAGCGCATAGAGGCCCCATCTGTAAACACAAACAGACGTGCATACAAACTGTTGCGTACCCCCGTGGAAGCCATCTGGCGAGCCTTTATGAAGACCTGCTTGACCCGATTGATAATGTCACTCTCCTTGTACTGTGCGATGTTCTTGTTCTGAAGCAGCGAGTCAATGATGCTTTTGCGATTCTTCCTGTACGTGTTGATGTAGGCATTTTGCAGCTTCCTCTTTTTGAAGAATGCTGAATAATCCTCCGCATATATGTCACCCAGTTTTCTTTTATGGGGGGAGATGGGATTGAGGGGAATTTCTCTGGAGTGGGGTTCGCTCGGGGATGCATCTATTTTACTCTTCTCTGCGGCGGCTTTACTCGGGGCTCCGTCCATTTTACTCTTCTCTGCGGCGGCTTTACTCGGGGCTCCGTCCATTTTACTCTTCTCTGTGGCGGCTTTACTCGGGGCTGAGTCCATTTTACTCTTCTCTGCGATTGCACCCCCGGCCAGCGAGGTTCTCTTCGCTGTCGCCTCTCTGGTGTGCGCCTTGTACTGCGTGCTTACCAGATAGGCCTCTTCGGTGAATGGCTTCGAGGGATCTTCCTTCTGCAGCTCCTCCAGGCCACTGTACAGCCCGTGTGCATTTGCCGCTACTTTCGCCTCTATTTCTGCCCCTCCTTCCGCCACTACCCCTGCTGCTCCTTCCTCCTCTACTCCTGCCGCCATCCCTTGCGGAGACAAAAAGTCCAGCGACTTATCCTTTAGGATCTCCTTAATGTTTCTATACTCCAGGAAGAGCTTCCCCACGGTATTGTATTCACTGTCGTAGAGCACGTTGTAAAATAACTTGAGCATAATTTTGAGCCACTGCCTCTGGACCTGCTGGGGGTTCCATTTTAGGATGCCCCCTTCTTCCTCCGAGGCTTTCAAAGTGACACAAATGTTTTCGACTAACGGGAGGAAAGAATCGGGGTCAACGTCCTGAGGGGGAGGCCCCACCGTGGTGCCGGCGGTTGTGGTAGCGGTGGTAGCAGTGATAGTAGCAGTGGTGGTGGTACCCCCCGTGGGGACCTTCGACGGAGTGACGATGTAGCTTAGCAAATCCATAGCGGCTAAGGCGAAGCACTGCGCATCGTCGGTTTTTTTGTTCCGCTTGCCATTCCAAGAATTCAGTTTCTCATAAATGCAGGTGAGGAGTTTGTCTCCTCCGAAATATGTCTCATTCAGGGGGCAATTCCGACCAATGGTGATCGGACCCATATTGGCAGGAACATAAACTCGGTGCAGATACTCACAAACACGCTTTATAAAAAAAAACTTCTGTTGCGACGTCGGTTTAGTCTCCTTTTGTTTCTTCTTCTCGTCTATTTCAGATTGCTTCTCACGTATGATGCTTTCAATTTCCACTACCCCCAAGGTCTTATAGTTATTAATCACTCTAAATCGTTCAGAAAAAGTTTTCTCCTTTATGTGCTTTGAAATGATGAGTTTCTCTGACTTGGAGACGTACACCCAGAGGTATTGGAGCAATTCTGAAAGGACTTCCTTCTTCTGGCATCTTTTCAGAACCTGTCTATCTTTGGGTTCTAGATAAATGGTGTAATTGTCTAAATTGGAATCATTCTTTTGGCTAGCTGTCTCGGAAGATGTGCCATTTTCTTCTGTGTAGGTGAGGTTCTTCCTTTCGTTTGTGTCCACCCCCTCTGCTTTTCTGCACTGGAAAAGGGAACTAGTTTTATCTCTAATCAGATTCACTAGGTCGTTGAAAAAGATTCTGAATTCGTCCTCATTCGATATGAACAGGTCATACATTAGTTTGAGGAGGGAGAATGTCCCCTTGAGCTTGGGGGGTTCCAGCAGGTGCAGCTCCGCGTCGCTGTGGTCAGGTACAGTGTCAGGTCCGCTACCAGCTCCGCTTCGCATCGTGCCATCTTTAGTGTCATCCCGCGGTAGGTGCTGCTTTCCCGCATCGTCTTTTCCACCCCCTTGATCATCATGACTGAGATGGGCCCCCTGGGAGACTTTGTCCCTCTCAGGGACGCGTAACCTGCCCCGCAGTTCCTCCAGCGAGAGAGGAAACAACTCCTCACACTTTTCAATAATACTCCTAAAAATGTCCACATCTAAGTGTTCATTCAGAACCCATTCATCGCTAGTCTCTTTATACACGAACCCAATCAAGCTGAGTAGCTTTTTAAAGCTGTTATGTTCGAGTAGCTCCGATGAAATGCTCAGTGGAATATCAAACAAGAGAGCCTTATAGTTGAAAAACTTATTTTTGGATAACTTCTTCAATTCGTAGAGAGACTTCAAATTAAAGATGACTTCTTCGAGGACGGTATCCACATTGCAGTTGATTCCACTGGAGGTTAGGCTTGTCTCTTTCTCCTGCACTTTGTTTAGCTTCTTCAGTTTGTACACAGTGTAGAGGAGAGGTTGCTTGGCCTTCCTACTCTCCTTGGTAGCCGCGCGGCGTGGGCTTCTTGGGGTCGTGGATTCCGCTTCTGTGTCGGCCGCTGTGTCTGGCTCCGTGTCGACTTCCTTCCCGGTTTCGCTGCCCACCCCGCTGCCCATCCTGTCGGGCGTCTCCCCGTCCGTCTCGCCTTTCGCCTCGCCTTCAGCCTCTCCTTCGGTCGCATCCCCAGAACTGTGGGACGAGTCCGACAGGTCGTAGTCCATGTCGTACTCCACATCATCTTCGATGATGTTTCCCCTTCGGTCCATGTAATTGAGAAAGATAAGTTGGTTCTTCACGCTGCTAGGGGATTTATTGAGCATCTCACTAATGAAGGGCAAGAAGTTGTGCATATGTTTGAATTGCTTAAAGTAAACCTTCAGACTTTCTACATCTTCCGCTGACCACTCCAAAGCTTCTAACCTCTTTCGGCTATTCATCTCGATGAAGATATCATTTATGTCCATCCCTTTGTTTAGCTCCTCGAAGACGAAGTGATCATTCCCCTCTGTGTAGTTACTAAAAATAGACAGCATATATTTTTCGCTTAACAAACTAAAGAGGGTTCTATTTACCGCTTTGCTAAAGAAGAGCTCCACCGGTAAGAAGTAGTTCGTATTCCATAGCTTAAAAAAACAAGCCACTATATTTTCAAAGAAGGAAGCTATCCAGTGGTACTTTGGATTTGCGTAGCATTCTTGGTCATTCATTATATTCATAAAAATGAGAAAATATTTCATGTCGAAAAAGAGTAAAAAGTTGTAATCGTTGTTTTTAAATTTGAGTAGCAATTCAAAGTAGGTAATTATTAGGTGATTTATTTGGATGCTATTTCTTTTGTATTCTTCTATTATGTGCATGCATGTATTTACAATTTTTCCGCTGTAGATTTCTTCGATTAGATCAGTCACACTGACTCTTTCTATTGCTTCAGCATCGTAGTCCCCATTTTTGCCATGTTGCTTCGAGTTACCATTCTGGTAAGCACTTCCATTCGAGTTGTACAATTGGTCCTCTTCTTCGTCTTCCTCCTCCTCGTCGTCGTACATTTTGTTTCTCCCCTCCTTCAGTATGTACGTACTTCCACCTAACTTTTCGAGCAACTCGATTATCATGAGGGCACACTTAAGAGCGTATGTGAAGATATTCCTGTCGTGACTCATCAGTTTGAAATTTTTTAGAATCCAACTTAAGCTATTTAGGATGTTTCTTTTTAGAAAATTATCCAGAGAGGATTTACAAATCGATTTCACATTATCATCAGTGGAGAGAGCGTGTAGATCGATTAGACTTAGATCGGCATGTAGGCACCTCAGACAGCACAAAACTATTTTGCTACTATTTTTTTTCATTTTCTCTTCCCTTATTAACCTTTGGAAAGTATCACAGAGGAATTCTGAGTGAATACTGTTATCTCCTATATATGCCTGCATTCCTAGAACCATCTGAATTCGGGATATGAAGAGGGAGTTCTCCTCTTCCGTCTGTTTTCCTTCCTTTACGGCTTGTTCCTCTCCGTTGTAAAAATGGCTACCTGCGGAATGGCTACCTACGGAATGCCTAGCTGCTGAATGCCTAGCGGAAATCGCTTTCCCCATTCGGCAATTGTTCAGTCGCTTCCTATTCTCGTAGAGATAAAACTTCGTATAATACGTAACGATCCAGGCGTGTATATTGAGAATAATCTTTATATCCCACTGGTGATTGTAGTACTCGACTATACACCTCCTGAGATCTTTGATGCAGATATTTAAGAAAACCTTGAGTGAATAATTGAACCCGTCATCGTCCCCCTCTTCCCTCATGATCCCGTCGTGATTGCTCCCCTCGTACACATTCTCGAACTCTTCATTTATTCCTATGATGTTATTTAACAACTCTTGCACTCGGTACAGGTTGCTGTAGTCGAATGTGTCTAGGATGTTCCCTTTGAGGAAAGACCCTCCCTCGCCGATGTTGTTCTTCTCTTCGAATATGTCGAAGGATAAATCTTCGAAGGAGAAGTTCTCGTAATGGTCTATTAAATTTTTTCTCTCTATGAATTTTTTTTTTTTTTTTTTCATGTGTTTTTCTTCATTTGGCTTTCTAACTTTCGATTTCGCTAGCAGTGGGTTTATCCTAGACAGGTGCATGATCATCTGGTTGTTCTTCCTTGGGTTGAGAAGGCTGGCTCTCTTTGCTGCGCTGGGGGCGGCCGTCTTCTTCGCAGAGAGGCGCTTTCCTGCTGCGCCGCTGTTCCTTCCGCTGATTCCGCCGCTAATTCTATCGCCAATTCCGCTGCTAATTCTAGCGCCGCTTCTATCACCGCCAGCTGCGTCGCCCCTATCACTGCTTCTACCGCCGCTTCCACACCGCGCCGGCGCCTGATGCGTCAGCGACCTGACCAAGTCTATCGGGTCTATGTAACACACGATGTTGTAGAAGAGCCTCACGTAGTCCCATATCTCCTTCATCGTGGTCTGCCTCAAGTAGGGGATGTGAATGTTCTTCTCGGTTTCGTACTTCTTCAATTCTCTGTCGAAAAGATGCCTCATCTCCTCGATGATTAGAGTCAGGGCGCTGTGGCTATCCAGCACGTTCTGCAGAATCACGTAATGCACATTGCTGGAGTTAATGGAGCTGCTTCTCTTGGGGTTCCTAATACCCAGGACCTGCGTCAGTATGTTGCGCACCAGGTAGACATTCTCCCTGTACTCGTGCATTCGCCTCTCTCTCTTCCTCTTGTCCGCCAGGAAAAAGTTAGCCACTTTGAGTAGCTCCTCGTTTATTTCGTCGATTCGGTTCTTCAGGGTCCTGATTTTCTTGCGCAGGAGTTTGTTCGTCTTTCTCGGTTTGTCGACACCCTCCCCGTGGCTGGCCTCTTCACCCTCTGGGGGGTCGCAACCATCGTCACCGCTATCGTCGCCATTGCCTCCTTCGCCACCACCTGCTTCCCCCCCGCCTGCTTCTCCACCGGTATCAGCCCCTCTGAGGCTCTCCCGACAGAACTGCAGCTCCTCCTTGAGGCGGCCCTTCTCCTCAATCAACTCTGCATCCTTCCGCTGCATCTCCAAAACCTTCTCATTCTCCTCAATGCCTCGATAATCGGCATCGATGAACAGCTGGCAGTTGTATCGAAACTCGTTTAGGAGAGTGAGGAAGTTTCTACTAGACAAAAGGCACTTCAAACTTTGAAGCCCATTTTGATACTGCTCAATTATGTTTGACCGTTTCTGTAGCTCCTTGAAATACATGTCATTCTTTAGGACGCCAGAAAATACTTTCCTTTCATTCTTCTCAATCTTTAGATAATTGTACACGTTGAATTCGCTTCTCTTATTGTTAAACGTAGGCATGTGTTTGTTCCAATAATCGAACCACTCCTTGGTGGGTCGAGAAGTAAGATGATTAATCAGAATGAAGATATTTCTTGTCAACAAAGTCTCATCGATGTCTCTGTAGATGGAGCTATCGAATTCGTTCTTAACGATATTAATCATCTGCAGAATCATGTCTTTCAAAATTTGATTATTAAATATATAGAGAGTTACATACATTGGGTTCTTAAAGGTAGAATCTACTTGAGCTCCGAACTTCCGATTGAGACACTCTCTTTCTCTTCTCAGGTAGGTGTTGATATCGTTCAGTATGTTCACCACGTTGTTGTCCAGGATGTAGTGTTCTTTTTCTACATGCTGGATGGTATCCATTTTGCTAAGGTGACTACGGCGGCGGCTTCGACTGCGACTGCGGCTGCTTCTTCCGCTGCCACTGCTGTGGCTACTACTACTGCCTTGTCTTTTTCTTCTGGAGAGACCCGACTCGGCAGCTGTGCCTTCCTCACCTTTATCTTCCCTCTTCTTGTCTGCTCCTTCCCTCCCACTTAAGTTCATCTTACTGTATATAAAATTGTACAGCTCTTTATTCTTTATCTTCAAATTTGATTTCTTTTCTGCCTCCTTCTTCTTGTTTGCACCCCCCCCCTTTTCATTTCTCTCCTGGGTGTGTTCGTCACCCCCATCATCCAGAGGGTCTCCTCTATATTCCGATATATCTTCCCGATTTGTACTCTTTAGGCCCTTATTTAACACCACCTCTTTTTTTAGCATATTGCTAAAGAGCACTAGGATCTCCTGCTCCAGAATTTCTCTCATTTTTATGGCGTGCAACAGATTATTTTCGTTGAAGATGTCTTCTGCCACTTTTTCGCTTTCCTGGTTTTGGTCCTTCCTTCCATCTTCCTCCGCCGCGTCCGACCCCTCATCGTCATCCGAGTCTTCGTCGTCCTCCCCTTCCGCATCTCCCTCCGCATCGCCCTCCACATCGCCCTCCACATCTCCCTCCGAATCTTCATCCACATCTTCCTCCACATCTTCCTCCACATCTCCCTCGTGTCTTCTCTCCCCATCATCATCTTCTGAATATTCTGATCCCGCCGAGCTGCCTCTATTCTTCCCGGGGGGACCTTTCCCCTTCAGGCTCTTCTCCGTTTCTTCACTCTGTTCGTAGCTGCTTTCACCTATTCTGGACATTTCGATGCGATACTGACTTCGTGCTATCGTAAAAGGGTACGATAGGGCTGTGTTAATGTGTTAGTGTGATAACGTTCTAATGTGTGTAGGGGGGTCCACCTGTACGGACTGGATCCCACAAGGGGCCGAAGGGAAACCCGCTCGGCTGCTTATCTTGTGCTGACAGCCTCCCCCTGGAGAGATTAATCTCCAGACAATTTTGAAGAGTACCAAAAGTGGAGAAAAAAAATAAAATATGGGGCGACAGGACGTCTAAACCACGGAGGTGGAAAACAGAATATGCTTAAGGGGTCTTGCGGAGGAGAGACCACTTAGCATTATATACGCTGTTACAATATGCATGGGGATTCCTCTTCGGACGGCCCGTTTCTCCTTGCTTGCTTGGCCTAAACTCGCCCCCTGGAAAGGCCTAAACAGAAGCAAATTCTGTTAGATGACTTTTCCACGGCCTCTCATTTGTGTCTTTTTAGGTTCCTTTACCCCTCGTTTCGCTGCGCCTTCTATTCCCTTCGTTTTGTTTCTTCATTCCTTTATTTATTTCTCTATTTCTTCCTTTCCTCCCTTCTTTCTTCCTTTCTTTCTTCCTTCCTTTCTTTCCTTTTCTTTTTGTTTTTTTTTTTTCCTTCTCCGGATGAATCTCTCGCATGTCAACTTTGCACACCGCGCAATGCACAAAAGAGGGATGCCATTTGGAGGATTTTTTTTTTTTTTTCCACTTAGCCAAAGCTTTTTCTCCTAAGGTATCTCAGAACGGGAGGATAAAACATTCCTCCCGTTTAGCCCCAATTGGGAAGGAGAGCCACACACGTATAGTTACACTGGTTGTTTACGCGTGTGGCATTTTTTCTGTTGAAATATATTTCAAATACGTTGAGGTACACAAGAAAAAAAAAAAAAAAAAAAAAAAGTAGACTACCCATGTGAGTGTCCTACTTAACGTGTACGTTATGCAAAAGGGGAGGTAGCTACGGCGGAGATAAATCTCATGTTTATTTTGGGGTGCCACTTTTGGAGCACTATCCCACCCCACACCCTTGGCGTGCACCGCTCAGAAACCCACCAGTAGGGGCTACACCCCTCCGGGAGGAACTGAGCATACCAAGAAAGCGCTGCTCCACGCAGAAAAGAAGAAAAAAAAAATGATAAGTGGAAAGGAAAATATATAAAGAATTTTGTTACATGGGACAATTCAAGTTTTTTCACAATTTTAAGAGGCTAACTTCTTCTTTTTTTCTTTCTTTTTTGAGAAACGGGAGAAAAATGGATCTTTCGGGAGATCGCGAACAGGAGTGGATCTAAATTGGCCCCGGCGTTCGGTGGACGCATATGGGGAGAAACCGTCACGAGTGAAGTGCAACGCGAAGGGGGAAGCGCTGGGAAAATGGTCCCGAAATTATGCATGCGTAGGAAACAAAAAAATGAAAAATTAAAAAAAAAAAAGGGACCACATAGAGGATGCTCGCTTACGTGGACGTCTTAACCCCACATGGGTATCCACGTATAAACGTGCACCCCTGGACTGGGCCAAACATACATGCATGCATTCTGGTCTCGCTGCGGACATATCAGTGAGACAAAATCACGGGCGTGAGGAGCCTTCCATATGCGGCACATACACATCAGACAGATTCCTGTTCGTAAAGTGGGGCTGCTGCCTTAGGCTACCACCACGAACTGCTGACGGTGAGCTGCAACTTGTACGTCACTACAACATTTTCGTGGGGTAAATGGAAAAAGAGAAAAAAAAAAAAAAAAA